GATGGCTCCTACAACCCCTGGTAGTTTTTGGCACTTGAAAAACCCACGCTCGATTCGATGCCACACACTAGCGCTGGGGGGATACTTATCCATTCTTGTGCATGGGTTGATATTGCAAGCACAAAGGACGCCGCAGCATCAATACACCAGGACTTGGCCATCCCGAATGCGGCCGCGGTTTCACGGTATCCTCCTTCTGAGCCGAGAAACAACAAAAAGACAGCGAACTTCTTCTCAAAAAAATGCACGGAACGACGCAGGAACTGCTGGGGAAGCTGACAACGCAGCCATACAACTAGTCGTCCAAAGGTGGTCTGCCATACAATTAGTCGTCCAAAGGTGGTCTGGTCGCATCGAAGGTTGTCTCGAAACCAATGCTCGTAGTGAGGGTCCCCCAACATTATGTCAAAGTTGACTTCAGTAATTATCAACACGTTGTACTTACCACCACCTGAGATGGGGGCGACTGACATACACACAGTACACACCACCGTTGCGACAGCAACAACAACTCGCTTGAAAGTGTCCATGGTTATTTAAAAGCGTACCAAGAATGTACATGTAATCCGATTAACGATTATCCGGACAAAGCGTGAATGGCCAAAAGCGGGAACAAAATGTTCACAGACCATGCTCTAAGGTACTGCAATGCATCAATTGTTGACACGGCACCAAATTGTGAGACTTTTTGACTTTTAGCCAATAGAATCTCGATATTTCGTGTTGGCCTTGTATGATTGAATATGATAATATTCGTCTCTATATTTTATTACACGTCTCAATGTTGAACTCGCAAAACGTAATTTTTTGAATGAAAAGTTGGACAAGTCTTAATTTAAAAGGTATATAAAATGTTATCGAAATGTAAACAACCCAGTTTACATTTTGTAAACTGAAAATTCAATACTTTGACCTAAAAAATCCCTACCTAAACTTTGTCCAAATCCTTCCAAAAGTTTTGTCCATAGACCTCTCACCAAGTTTTCAATGAATATGTAATCAGATTCATGAACTTCGTGTTGGTTCACGTGAAATCACACCTCGAACATCGAAGTTTCGTCGGTTTCGTCAACCTTCAACCTAAAAAATCCCAACCTAAACCTCCTTGAATTTCATATCGCTTTGGCACGTATAACAGAACGTAAAGTTGAGATTACGCTCAGAGATTGTTGAATGAAAATACGTTTAAATACCGGTAGAGTCAAAATTGGCCACGAAAGTTCATCAATCGTGTCAAAATGTAAACAGCTGTTTACATTTCGTTAACTGCCAAAAGTATTCTATTTTCGTTTGAAACTTAACCGGTCGATTTGAATACCGTTACATATTGTGGATTTTCCCCAGGCCAAAACCTGGTTTTCGCGATTTCCCGCAGCCTCCTGTTCAAACTCTTACACTTGGATTGTATTCGAACGATGAGATGAAGCCCAAAAAGGAGACTTCGGCACTGCAACGCCGATATAATTTGAACTTCGCCAGATATGGTCGATTGAATGGAGCTTAAAATCGGCAAATCACATATCCGTCGCGTTATTAACATTTTGACCAATCAAACTCACTTAGTGGTTGGGCTAGTGCATATTGTGTATGGAATCTGAAAAATCCTGGCCTCACATACAAATTTCAAATGCAGCGATAGCTGGACATATTTGGACATTTCGACCGTTACTGTACTCCTAATCAGGTTTGCTAAATATAGGAATGCGAATCCGTCATGAGGAGGACGCTGCTCGTTGTAGATTGCAAACAGGTTGCATTGCAACTTACCATCACCACACTTACGAAAGACTTGCCCTACGGACGCAATAGGTCTTTATTCGAAGTATATGTGTGAATCCTTACGCTTTCACTGTGCCTTTCCTACTTACAGTTAGCCAATAGAACCGTTGTCGGAATGGAATGTCAGAATCAGTATCTTGTCCGAATATTCATGCTACCAAAACCGGATAATAGTATCCGGAAACGTAACATGTCCAAACTCTATCAATGGTAAATAAAGAGTACCAGAAACCCCGAATGCTCTATAACCCGCTTAAGCTTACTATGTAATATTTGGTCAAGTTTACTTAAGAATGATCTTGCGTAACTGTAAAGCACTACAGTAGTATGTAATTCTGCAAAATGAAAGGCTTTCTCACCCCTACCGTAGGTTACTTCTCAGAATCGCTACTGTATTTATATAGTCTGCAAATGAGAGATTCTCTCACTTGCAGATTTGCAGGGGCCAATATAAATCCAGTATTCGTGCTTAAGATTATACTTTTACTCGAGTTCTAATGTATGATTTGCTCTACTGCAAATAAGAGTATGTATCTCTCATTTGGAAAATCTCCGGTTACTCTGCCAGTTTCCCTTGAAAAGTCGTTGTCACTTCTTGGTCAAAATATTGAATTCGTTGGTCAGGATTGTTGTGTTTTGGTCGTTCTATTTCCTGTTACCGTATTGGGTTCGATGTTAGAAACCGGACGAGTGACAAATAGCATGTGTCGTTCAGTTGACCATCACAAGGGTACAAAGTGCCCATGAAAGTACGGTTTGCAATAACCAAGCCATAGAAGGTACTATGTAGTGCCTTGCACTCTACGGCATAAGCTATGGCCGTTGCGGTGTCATCCCATGCTACATACCATGAACGATGCCTAATGGAGCTGTGCGTGGGATGACTCTCTATAACATAACGTGTTCACACGGACAAATTGATCGTCCGCCATGACCAGTGTGCGACTGCCAAGATGCAGAACCATGTGGTAAGCATCACCGTTCAAAACTCGATTGCATTTGGCAATTTTCTGCATCCCGAAGATGCAACTGATAGGGATGGTAGTCGTATCGACAGGTCTTCTCAACGGTGTGGCCTCCTCCAACGTCGACTTATGCCGGGCGAAAGTCGTATGCACCATGCTTAGCGGCCTCGATTGCAACCGGTCAGGGGGTGGATGCCCCCCGTGCATTTACCAGCGCACCGTGGATGCCTTGGATTGCAGGAAGAAGACTGCGGTTGAATTGGGCTGCCCAAATATTGCATTACCGCTGCTCATCGACTGTGGTACGCCGACACCCTTGACGTTATGGTTGACCCTTACCAAAAATGATCAGATACAATCGTTCCCACCACCACCCCCAACACAGTGTTGCAGCAAATCTCCATCGAGCAAGCGAATAGTGGCAACAACACTAGCTCCAATAACACACGGAATCCCACGACCCTCCCTCCCAACGGTGGCTCGAGCACAATATCAAGTGCGTACTCATGCACCGTATTGGAGGATTGAACGAAGCTCACAAGTTGCAAAAGTTGGACCTGTAGGACAAAGTACCAACAACTCGGCCGTGTACTGGGTAGTCGGAATCTCCATGGGTGTATGCCTTCTGCTAGTGGGATTGTGCTGCCTACGACGGCGCTCACCGAAGCGCCAGCGACATGCTCCTAACGTTGAGTCGGTGCACAAAATCAAACGCCAGCAGGCCAACGCGGACGAGTTGCCCATTCCCGCGCCGTTGATTCTCGTCTCCGAATCGCTGCGATACGACCTATTGAATTCTTATCCCGACCAAAGCACTCAAGCGATTGTATCTGCCTCCGGCACCCCTTCGTCCACGGAAGACGACGACATCCTCAGCACCGTCTTCATGCGCTTCCGCACGACCGCCGACTATGCTGCCGACGAGCGGAACTCGGTGTTTTCGATGCTGTCATCGATGGATTCATCGACTCTCTCATCCATGGGTTCATTGGATACGGTGCATAGGGACGAGGATGAAGTAGATATTTAGGTAGTAGTTTGAAGTGTCCGATGTATTGTTGGAAGTATAAATCAGTCCGCAGTTTACAGTTTCATTACATTGAGTATTCTGGTGGTCAAAGTATACAAATTTTACTGTATATGCGTATACACTGTAAAAAATATGGGCTTGTACTATTAATATTGTGAATTCGATATAAACTTCCAAAATTGTTTTAGACCAGCCCTATAATAGGGCTGGTCTGGATGGATGCCACCTCATAAAATTACTACGTAGTATGCCATAAACCGTTTTGGCAAGTCTTCAAATTTTCCCAAAGTCTGATATTCCATGAAAAAAAGGAAAGTATCCCCAAAGTTGTCTGGATACCAGCTGAATTTTGGAAAAATTATATTCGATTTTTGATTGAAGTACAAGACTTCAACGTGAACACAAACCTCCATAAAAAAGTTGGACCAAATCGGTCAATTTTTTTTATGCCATAAAACACTCGATTCTCAAGAAAATTGTGGCATAAAGTACTAGTAATAAACTTTGGTGGCATCCAGACGTACAAAATCTCGAAAAATGGAATATTTCGATTTTGCCAACTTTTCTTGGGAAAACGGCCATTTTATGCCATTCTTCGTGGCATCCAGACCCGCCCATTATCAATCAATATTGACTGTGAATCACGCTGGTTTTCTGATTGGTTGAATGTCCTTGAGCTTTATGTGAGAGCCAATCAAATTTTCTCATTTTTTTTATTAGCCAATAGTGTCGATTCGATTCGATGGGGTCTGGAAATTCGTATCGAATCCACAATACTCCTAGTAGAATCAAACATCCAATCAAACGTACGCATACTACAATAGTAACAGTTATAGAAAAATCGCGCTAACGTTAACGATACAGTATTCATAGTATTGGAAAAATCATTAACCAGAAAAAGCAAGGTGAAATAAGCAATTTTGTATGGAGCATTCCATAAATAGTTCTGAAATTGTATAGTTTCAATTAAATATATCTTCACGTTTGTATTGATGATTTTTATTTTTCATGTGTCTGTCTCTTTTTGGAATTCGCAAGGCAGGTCACCTTGCGAATTCAAAATTGTCCAATTTTGTCCAATCAGATGCGGTGAAATCACGAAAATCGCTGCGTAGATTCATCACGCCCTATTCCTGTGATGACGGTTGATGCAAGGAGCCTTGAGATAATTGTAGGCTGTGTATGAGAGCAAGATCATGTGATGTGGTATTCAGGACTCGGTCAATTCTAACAGGTCTCCTTTCACCACTTGCCTACTAACCCAATGAAATTGGTCATCCCTCATTCCACCATCCAACCCGTGTCGGTGCCGCACACCTCCCTGCCGGTGTGATCACGTGGTTGCGCGGGCGGTGGTGCAAGACATCTTGGTGGCACCCATCGCAAGTGCTGAAGTGGCGGATTTAGCAACAAGGTGTATTGGACTCTGATTACATACTAAAAAGGAGCAAGGTGGCTCACCTTGTTTCTTACACACGATTGGCTATAACACTGACAGTAGAGGTTACACTTTTGAACTTTGAATTTTGTACTCTGGAGTAGAGCTTTGTGTGATGCTGTTCCAGAGACTTGTGCACTGATGAGTGCACTCCGACTATGTGGTTCTCCCCTTACAGCTATCATTGTGTTGTGCGCTCGGTTGGGTCGCAATGTCGTGGTGGCTCTGGTGGGCCAACGCGGTGGCG